CCACACCCTCACCCACATCCAACCTCATCCCCACACCCTCACCCACACCCACACTCGACATCCCAAACTTCAAGATTCAATGGGACTTCAGAATTGAACTCATTTATAATTTTACTATTATTATTTGTTATTCGACTTTCAGATAACATAAAAAAGTTTTTTATTATCCTATTTGTACCATCTAAAAACGGCATACAAGTAAATAACTATTATGGCTTCGTATGTACCTCCAGCATTGAATAATTCTTTAAGAACTGTTGAATGGATGTGGCAATCAAATCCAAATCCTTTTTCAGAGTCTGAACCGGCTACATGGAGTCATTACTCAGATTTAGAAAATTTAATTATCGAAAAAGCATTTCAAGATAAACAACCACGAGCTCAACTGGATGATTATTTTATTGATTTCGAAAGGAGTCTTCAAATATCGAACACTGATGATTACAACCAAAGATCGATTAAACGAGTGGTACGTAGAGAAGCACGTTTTAGAGATCTTCCTGTTAGTTATAAACATTCATTTGGTGGTGAATATGGCTGGGTATCCCCATTTGTAATAGAAGTCAGACGAGACTTGAAACTTGAACCAGATGACTTACCTTCGAAAAAAGCAAGCCTAGTTCCGATACTTGTGGAAAAAGCAGTACAAGGTATTATTGAAGAAGGTATAAGTATCGAGAAAACATGCGAAGCTGAAAAACTAGCTGATATGCTTCTAAAAGAGAAAAACGCAGGAATCGAAGAAGTTTGGAGATGCTGCGCTTATCTTTATACCTCGGAAAGTTTCTTGTACAAAACATTAAATGCAGCGATGAGATTGGTAGGAGACAAAGAACAGGAAGAAGTATGGCGAAGTAAAGTTCGTACATTGGGTCCATTCTGTTTATTATTGTGGGATGATCCATTTAATACAAAAGTGACAACCAAAAAGACACTTTATCGAGGAGCCACTCTAACTGAAGAACAGATCGCTGCTTATGCAAAAATGGCCAAAGATGACATGGATTATGGATCATTTCAAGCGTATACATCATGCAGTCGAAATCGAGACGTAGCAGAGCAATTTGGAAATACTTTATTCATTATGCAAGTCAAATTTGCTTTTATTGCCGATCTAAGTCCATTGTCTGACTTTTCTGCAGAAGAAGAAGAACTTATTACACCCGGTGTTTCTTTTCGTGTCCTCAGTATTAAATTGGATCCTACAAAAAGTAAACACATCATCCATTTGGAACTGAGACAACGCTTTTCTGGTGAGTACAGCACTTTTCTCTAGTGAAAATTTGTACATGCAACGATAACTTCGATTATTTGTCTTTTCTTTTCGAATGATGGGCCACGACAAACGAATATTTAACCTAGAATTCTTTCACAAAGCCTAAGTGCTCGGATAAGAACAGAAGGCTGAGCACTTCAAGAACTATTCCGAGTAGAGGATTCTTAATGAATTAATGCAGCCATAGTTTAATATTCACCCAGTTAATTACAGGATGCATTTCACCGAGTAGTTCAGTCTCTATCGTTATCCCCCTTAGTGCATTCAATCCCTTTATGATCTTCTCGATCCTCGTAGCTATGACAGTAATTTCTCATTACAGCTCCACCCTCAGTTAAACATAAGTTACAACTCTGATTAATCAGCAAAGAAAGATTCAGTGTGAATAAAATTTTTATTAGCAGAATCAGTCAGTCGGTAGTCGGCTTCTTCAAGTACTAGGCTTAAGCGATGAAATTGGTCTATGTAAATATAGAATTAAACGGACGAGACAACAGTCGTTTCATAGAACGTTTTGCAAATAAATTTTTTCGACAAAAATGTATTGTTGAGTTTCCACAAAATATGCAATTTAAGAGATATATGACTGCTGACATTTCCGATTATAGCAGCTTCTATTTTAGCTCACTCTTGAACTAGATGAGACGCTGCAACTAAGCTACTATACAGTTCTTTACACGTTGCTGAATTGATGCACGGTGATTCGACCCGTTTATATATACGACTCCAGTAGTAACTCTCGAATGAATTTCTAGACAAGCCGTTACAAAAAAGTCTCTCATCATTTCAGAGCTATGAAAATTTTCGTGTTATCATCATCGTCAAAATTTGGTACTTTTGCTGAATTTTATCTAAAATTAATATCTTATCTAGTATGTATATAGTCAGATCGAAATCTTTACTGTAGCTTTATTTTATTTTAAGGTATTTTTCATAAAGCAAATGGAAAGAAAGTGCGGAAGTAGTAGTGGGTTGACTTTAGTCGCAAAGAATGCCATTATTTTAATTTTTTGCGATGTTGCGCGTAGATGTATGTTTCGAATAGGTTACGCTAGATCATTGATATTTTGATAAGCGCGAGACCAAATTCCATAGTAAGTGTAATAAAAAAACTTAGGTCTCTAGCTTGCTATTTCGGACTACGAAAACTTTCTCACAAGTTTACTTATCATAAAAATGACGGCTTTTCCCGTTGAATATCTGAAGTGAAATCAGTTCGATAGATATGTAGTATTTATGGTTATAACCTATCCATGTAGTAGAGAACAAAATCTCGCAAGAATCAGCACAGGATATTGCTAGATGCCGTCTAGCTCTACATCGAAAGAGGAACAGAGAAGTAGTATAAAACATGCAAATCTTTGAGAACCAGTTCACTAGCCATGGACAGAGTCACATATTTGATAGCAAGGTGTGAGCTATCATAGATTCGCACATTAAGTCCTCTCTGTTGATCCATATAAAGACCTCTTGAAGTTCTCAGAAACTAATTCTACGAAAAATCGTGAGAGAATTTACAGAATTATTTCTTAAATTAATGTAGTCGCACTTCTTTCCGTAGGTTTTCATCAAAACTTGTTTTGACAGTTTTAAAAGCTTTTTGTATGTTAAAGAGGAGAGATCTATCTGTAAGTGTAAGCTAGATAGTAAAATGATTCCTAATCTTCAATTTTATGCTTTGTCACAGAGCTGACTTTTCAGAATTTAGCTTGGTGTATGCTTCCTGTTTTTGGTGCACATTTTAATAAAGGATCAAATGTCATTTTGAATATTCTGTGCTTATTCTTGAAAGACTTTTTAGTGCTACGTATATAGTCCATAACCATAAAGATTAACGTTCATCTAACAGATTTTGTTTCGAATAGCCAATTACAAAGTCCGTTATTTTTATGATAAATCACTCCTTTGAGAAAGTTTCCCTGAATCATTACAATAAACTAGACGGCTCATTTTTTTTTATTACAGTCAGTGTTCGATTAGATCTGTTTCTAATAAAAAATTAGCAATCTGGCGTAATATTTTCGAAGGATATGTCAATGTACTACATCGCAAAGGCTAACGTGGTTGATGACCAGGAGCAGTCTACTGATGATTGAGCAATCTGAGCCCGTTTACTTTATGAAAAATGTCTTAAACTCAGATAAAGATCTAGGAAAGGTTTGAACCTGAGCATATATATTTTAGATGCAATATCAGCTTTAGAAAAAAAATCAGTAAAAGTACATGATTGTGATAAAGGTGTTGACAGAAAATTTTTTCATAGCTCAGAAACCATAAAAGATTGCTATCGGGACAACTTATCCAGAAACGCCTACTTTTGTACCTCTGCAACATATCGTGAATTGAACAGAATCGAACGACTTCGACCATGAAGATTTGGGTGTAGCCTGTGCGAACAACTTCACAAACATAAGAAAACGAGAATGTATGACTGATAAGGACTGACGTTTCAAATCTAAGTGAACAACTAGCATTAGGAACGTAAAACCTGTATGATATAAAAAGAATGAGTATAATGTATACTATATAATGCAATAACTTCACAAAGACATTGTCAAAAATCCGATGTTGCGCTCCAATCATTTCAGCTCATCAAAGTGCTCTTTTTTCTCTTTGGAAAAAATGTGTGAAAAAAGAATAACGATGCTCGAGATCTTGTTATACATGTCGCACACCAACAACTTTTTACCGATGAAAGACGCTTATACTTTCCATATGGAAGCTCACGAAACTGAGTGTTCGAACTGTTGCGTTCAGACTTTGTCGTCTTCAATAGCCCTTCCATCCGACGAACAACGTTCCTAGTGCTGATAAAACTTCAAAAGTTTTGCAAAGTTATTAATCAGTTTTCACACAAACAAAATCAGAATGAATATGACTATGCTTATATAGCAACTAAAATATGGGTATTTATTCAATATCATTATGCGTTAAAGCTGAGCATAATGATAGAGTTGACGATTGTGAGAATTTTCCAGGGAAATAAACGAAATCGGTATAGTCAGTTATAACATATTGTGGCCACGCATAACCCTAAGTATTTCATCTGCATTGAAAATGCAACAATATTCATAATAAGTCTTATGTTATTCATATAAAAACATTATAAAATTGGATAATTCATCGGAGGACAAATCTCCCGCGCCATGATGTATATTTCGATGCCATTTCGCCACCGGATTGATCGATGTTTCTCACCAGACTTTTAGATCGCTGAGAGTTTTTCTCATTACTATTCATCCAGACATAGAGAACTGGTATTAAGCGTATTGTAGCATCAGTTAACTAGCTATCAAGCAAACTAGTGCATACTTAACGACCATCTCATTAGTATTATATACCATGAATTATAGACTTTTAAGGATACCAGAGAACCTAGCATTAATATTGCCTTAGTGTGAACGGAATTCTATTTGTTGTAGCCAGACATAAAAAAGATCTCAACACCTTCAATACATCAAGTCTTGAGCAGACTCAATCTATGCTGGGTGCTCGCCTTGCTTCTTTGAATCATAATAATCTTAATGATAAAGTTCTTCGTGATCTGCTTCGTGACGTTGATCTTTATAATCTTACTGATGCTGACGCTGTTCTTCTTGACGATCTCCTCGGCTTCGAAGGTCAATGCATCAGATCTGGTGATATCAATAAAGAAGTACGAATGGTTCTGTTGGGTGGAACTGGCAATGGTTAGTGATACACACAATTATAATGATTATTCAAAAATTTGATCTTTTTGATATTTTAGGAAAGAGTTCTTTTGGAAATACAATCCTTGGGACTAAAAAATTCAAAGATAAGAGTAGCTCAACAGGTGTTACGACGAAATGTGCTGTAGAGCAACGCGAGTACAAGGACAAACACCTTCTTGTCGTCGATACTCCGGGTTTTTTCGATACTAAACTCCCACCTGAGATAGTTGAAGATGAAGTCGCCAAATCACATCAAGTCTTAGCACCTGGGCCGCATGCATTTCTGATCGTGCACAATCTAGCTAGTCGCTTCTCTGAACAGCAACGAGCAGCTGCCAAGCGAGTTACACAGCTATTTGGCGAAGAGGCAGCCAATTTCTGTGTTTTTGTTTTTACTGGAATAGATCATATCGAGGATGATTATCCTACTATTAAAGATTATTTGAATGATTTGGAACCTGGTGATCCTTTAAAAAGCTTATTAGAAGATTTTGGAGGACGGTACGTAGCAGTAAACAATAAGGGAAATGAAGCTCATAAGGAAAATGTACTTGACGAATTACTACGCATCATTGAAGAAATGGTGTCTGAAACGACTAATGGGTACTACTCAACAAATGAGTATACAGAAGTGGCTAATGCTGTGAACAAATCAAAGAAGAAAGGTCACATCACGGTTAACCCAGATGGTTCCATCGTATTGATACCAGAAGTGAAAGCGATTGTTGGTACTTTCCTTCGTCAAAATCTTGGGAGAAATTCTCTTAGCAATTGATCAAAGTTCTTCTATCGATTCAAAACTGCTTTCAAACTCAAACGCTAAACTTTTGGAAAAAAATTAAAAATAAATGAAACTGAAAGGTGGGTAAGGGTGAGACTAGGTGTGTCGGTGTGGTATATGTGTGTGGATGTGGGCGTGGGTG